CAGATGGCATCATGCACCCCATGTGCCCTTTTCAGTCCAGCAACTAGGCCTTGCTACGAATAAAAGAGGGCAACCCGAAGCTATTCAGGACCTTCCGCCTCCAACGCTTGCCCGCTGCAGTCTCTTCTCTCTCCTGACTAACCCCCCAGTCCACGTGAACTCCCACCACACCACCACATAGGGAGTGCCCTCTTCAGCTCGGTTCTCTCGCAGGCCCTCAACAAATGGCATCGTGCACTCTTCTCTCTCCTGCCCTCAACAAGCCCCCAATTCACCTGAGCTCCCACCGCATAATTAGGGAGTGCCCTCTTCAGTCCGACGCTGAGCTGCCCCAACTACAATCTGTTCTCTTTCCATGGCGTCCTGAGCCACTCGTGATGCTGATGATGCACTCTTCGCCGTCAATTACATCACCGCTAAAACAACACCCCTCAAACCATCTCAACACTCATTTTTCACTACCAAGTGGCCCGCCTCTTTTTGTCACTCTCCCCCACCAGGTTCTGGGTTCACCTCTCCGAAATTGGCCACCACGCAACCACCCCCCCCACACCCCCTTTACTCACTTCGTTCGCTCCAGCAACCTCAAGCCTTGCCTATCGGCTGGCTTTCGTGATAGATATGCATATTACATACGTTATTATAACACCATCCTGGCTTGGATGCTTTTCTGACTCTGCACAGCATTCTCTTCCTAGAACATTCTTGCTTCGAAGAATGTGATCCAAACAGCTGAATAGAAATCTGAAAAATCCAGGCACATGCTCTGCCCAGCGGCAACCTCCTTACCGGCAGGCAAAGCAAATGCCTCAGTAGCTCTTGGCACAACACTCAAAAAGAACATTGTTGGGCTAAACATGATTCTTGGACAACTTGTGACCTGAAGTGTCTTGATGGAGTCCTGTGGGACTTTTTTTCGCAATTTATATAAGGCGGCTGAATTCTACAAACAATTCTGATGGTCATTATCATCAATATCAAAAGCAATAGGCTCCCGAGCCACAGCAGGGGTTGTGGATCTGGGTGAAGGAACAGGCGACAGTTGCGGCAAAGCCTCTTCCGGCCTTTGTGGTTCAAAAGGTTTATCACAGGCACAGAATTATGAAAAAACAAAGGTGTGGAAATCAACTATATACAACCAACAATTCTACAGTTAGAGACTCCAAAGCACCTCCAGCCCTTGCGTGGCATGATTCAACTCTGGGTTGCCCCAGCTCCCCGATGAAGTCCGCCACACTTGGGACAGGCCTGTCATGAAGACTTGGCCAGAGGTTCATTGGGCCCGTGATGCGACTGGGTTGTTGAAGGGATTGACTGGGTTGTTGTGTCAGTGAGGCGACTCATCAGCGAAACATCACGCTCTGCCAAGAGTCTCCGGACAGAATCTGTGGTTTAGACTCATTCCAATCTGATGTTCTGTGGGGTGTAGCAAAGGTGGGTGATCCTACCCATAAGTACTGTATCTATATACATCTCTAGGTTTTTCGTAGGAGAGGTCCAGAAAAAACACAGTTTAAGCGCGCTGAGGCACAGCTGATCCTGCGACCTTGTCTTTGAGATCCTGGGCCAGTGATCGCGAGAATGAGAGCAAATGGCTACCTTTCCTGGTTGAATCGAGGCCTTAAGGTACTAGCGATGGCCTTCAACCTAAAGAGAAAGGAAACAACAATTAAAGAAAAAGGGCATGAGAAAGAGAAGACATGGCAATGGCCTCCAACAAAGTAGCGATGGCCTCCAACCTACTAGTGGGCCGCTTGCTACCAGTCCTGCCAGGGCATCTAAGGACATGGCTCTGGCTGCACAAACGCCCGGCTGAACTTTCGCAAGGACCTGGTGGTTGAAAGGGTTGCCAAAAAATAATATATACAAAAGGTGATTGTTTAACGCCTGCTCATAAGACCAAGTTCCTCTCAATAGGGAACAACACTGTCATTGTCCTTCCTTTGCTTGACGGAAGCTATCGTAGCAACATCCTCTGACACCATACACGGTCAAACTCTGAATCAAATGTCAACGGTTCTACAGCTAGAGTTCAATCAGTATGCAAATCTAGTTGGAGATTCGAGATGTAATCTGAGTTTGATGTCCCCACGGGTCAAGTCTGTTAGACACTCCCGCGCGGGAGTTTCCTTTGTCCGAGGCCCGTTCTTGGCGCGCCGCGCACGATCTGGGCTCAGCAACTGCCGGAGGGCATCCAGCGTCTGCAGATGGGCGGGTCAAAGAGCTCGTCATAAGAGAGAAAAGAATGAAAAAGGCAGGTAAGGCGCCATGTTCAGCAAAAAAGAATACGAATTAGAAACCCAAATTCAGCAAAGTGGTAACGGCGACACCTTTTGATTCATGGCCTGACAGGTCAACACCGCCTAGCGCCTTAGTAAGACCCTTGAAAGTACAAAAACGCGAAGAACCCTGCCTCGTGTCGGTGTCTATAAGATTGTAGCGGCGCCAGTTTTAGGATATAGCGTCCTTGTTCCTAGTAGTAAGGCCAAGAGCCCCTAGTACGAGTAGCTTCTTGTTCCTATTGATTTCATTAAGCAGCGAGCACAGGAAGGACGTCAAAAGACTCACCATCGCCTTCTCTGAGATGGCCTCAGCCACCCAAGCCTCGAGGACAGGAGAAGGCTAGCTGCTAGCAGCTAGCATTGATTTGCATTGAAACAGTTTTTATCCTCAAACATTGTCACTCACACATTGTTCAAAGGAAGGTTGTCTGACATTATTGACATTATCTAACACTTCTTTTTTGACTCCATGCTGTTTCCCTTGCCCTTTGAGCAGTCTGCTAGAAGGACTTGCACTTTGCCGAGGCGTTTGCTCACCACCTCATTAACTTGTGTTTCTAACACTTGCAACAATATGCTCTCTGAGAACATGGATTTGTTGACATTCCACAAGGCGATCCTCAGGGTCCCATGGCCCTGCCTCGCAGTCGGGGTCATTCGCAGACAAGCCAAGCAAGAATGCAAATATAAAACTGCCTGTCCATAGAGAAGAAGGGTAACCAAGAAATCTTTGGCGGCGTTGTGGTGAACCCATGATGTTTCCAATATCCTAGACTCTAGTGATCTCTATATAGTGTGTGGTTGCAAGAGGACTGTGTTGTTCGCATACATACAAATGTTGTGCATAGCTGGTTTTCCTAAGAGAAGAAACCAGTCCTTTTGAACAATCCTTGATTTGAGACACCACAAAGGCATGAGAAAGACATATTAGAAAGGACATCTCCTCAACAAGAAAAGCACCCTCTCTCCATATCTCCCTTTCTTTCTTTCATTTCGCAGTTTCAAGGGGATTGCGAGAGCTGCTGAAAGCCGCGTCTGCCTTCTTCCAAAGGCTGATCGGAATGAAGAACCTGTTGGGCATTCCAGGAAGCATGGGACCTTTCATTGGACTCTTTTTGCTTCGGAGAATGCTGCTGCTGGAGACAAAACAAATGTCGACACCAACTCGTCTGGGACCGTGCATCCATCTAGAATCTCAGCTTGTAATAACGAGTCACCTGTCATTGCCTTTGAAGCTCTTAAGCCATCCTAAACCTGCGATCAACTGTTACCAAGTCTGTCTCTTGCGTCCGTATGACTTTTCCAGGAAGCTCACAAAATCACGGCAACTGATCAAGGTCAAGCTGTGACCTCTCGCAGCTTCTGAGTGGAGCGCTGCGAAGCCGCGGCTATGCTGGCAGTGTTTCGGGGTGTTGTATTTTCGGTGCAAATCTCATTTCGTTTTGAGCGCAAATTTTAACGCTTTAGCAGGCCCAGTTACTAGCCCACGCCAGATCCCCTCCAAAGCACATGTGGCGCAGTGATGCCACACGCGCTCGGCAGGGCTCAACTGCAGTCGGGCGTACATTTTTGTGGCTTAGCGGGCGCAAGTGTTGATGCTTTACCACGCCGCTTGCTTTGATATTGTCGCCATGCAATGTCCAAACCAGGGCGAATCTCGTTCCCCTGACCTTCCCACTCACTTTCCACATCCCAACAAGTCTCGAAATCCCCCGTTGCTAAGCAAACTTAGGCAAACGACAACTCAAGGTTTGGCCTGACGGCTAATTTGCATGCTTTAGCCTAATAGGCTTAGGCAAACCACAATTCAAGCCATTGCCAGCCACCTAGCTTTGGCGCCCACAGCGATATGCAAGTCGAAATGCTTGAACGCATGCCTCAATTCTCCACAGGCATATTATCCTTTAGAAGGCCCACCTTGCGCACATTGAGTGCGCACCCAAAATCTTGAGATTGCAAGCCCGCCGAGGCCCCGCCCCCCCCCCCCCAGACCCCTGGTTGTCAAGCAAGCTTGGGTAAACGACAATTCAAGCTTTCGCCTGGCGGCCAGCTTTCGTGACATTGGAATTCTCAACCCTCTCCAAGACCGCCGCGACAACCTATTCACCAAGAAGTTGCATCGACCACCACTTGCATTTGGCCACCAGCGTTAAAGATTCCAATGTTTTCCAGCTTCTTGAGCACGGAAACCGGCGGAAGAAGTAGCATGCAGGCCAGCGATGCAGCGATGCACTTCGAAAACAGGCTTCATGGAGATGTGAAAGTTTGCTAAAGGACAGCTTGGGCTTGGGGCTGGAAACTGGAACAAAACTCCTGTTGAAGTAGAGTCTGATAAAATATCCTAAATACCACACTACCACACCCAGGCCTATTCCAGCTTCGACTCCGAATGCCATCCACACCCATCGAACGGCCTCCATTTCAGCTTTCAGCACCTCTTCCATCACACTGCCAGCAGCCCCTTCACATTGCACAAGCGCAACAGCCATTTGAGCCAGCACCTGCACCGTCCATTCAATCACCAAATGCAAAGATTTGTTGACAAGCTCCACCCGAGGAAAATCGCTTGAGCAAAGAATTTGGTGAATGGAAGGAGTGCATCACCACACATTAAAGGTCGCTCGTACACTCCACTCGAAACAAGAGTAAAACATTGCAAAACGGCGACTAAACCTGGTGCTGAAATGAAAGCTTCGCCTCGGCACCCTGGCGCCCTGCACACCGCGAAAGGCGTCCCAAGGGGACTGGACTCGCCAGGCACTTCAAGAGCTGTGCCCAAGCGGCTGACTCACTCCGCCCCAGGAGCGCCTGACGAATTGGTGAACTTGAGATATTGATTATTTGGATGAACTCTTGTTCCTAGTAGCTTCTTGTTGCCGGTAGCTACTTGCTCCTAGTAGGAAGCCCAGGAGCCCCTAGTAGCGTCCTTGCTCCTAGTAGCGATGACAGGAGCCCCTAGTAGCGTCCTTGCTCCTAGTAGCAAGGCCAGGAGCCCCTAGTCGCGTCCTTGCTCCTAGTAGTAAGGCCAGGAGCCCCTAGTAGAGTCCTTGCTCCTAGTAGTAAGGCCAGGAGCCCCTAGTAGCGTCCTTGCTCCTAGTAGCCATGCCAGGAGCCCCTGGTCGCGTCCTTGCTGCTAGTAGTAAGGCCAGGAGCCCCTACTAGCATCCTTGCTCCTTGTAGTAAGGCCAGGAGCCCCCAGTACCGTCCTAGTAGCGTCCTTGCTCCTAGTAGAAAGGCCAGGAGCGCCTAGTAGCGACGTTGCTCGTAGTGGTAAGGCCAGGGGCCCCTAGTAGCGTCCTTGCTCCTAGTGTAGTATGGCCAGGAGCTCCTAGTAGCGTCCTTGCTCCCTAGTAGTAAGGCCAGGAGACCCTAGTAGCGTCCTTGCTCCTAGTAGCAAAGCCAGGAGCCCCTAGTAGCGTCCTTGCTCCTAGTAGCCATGCCAGGAGCCCCTAGTAGCGTCCTTGCTCCTAGTACCCATGCCAGGAGCCCCTACTAGCGTCCTTGCTCCTAGTACCGATGCCAGGAGCCCCTAGTAGCGTCCTTGCTCCTAGGAGCCCCTAGTAGCGTCCTTGCTCCTAGTAGTGAGGCCAGGAGCCCCTCGTAGCGTCCTTGCTCCTGGTAGTATGGCCAGGAGCCCCTAGTAGCGTCATTGCTCCTAGTAGTAAGGCCAGGAGCCCCTAGTAGCGCCCTTGCTCCTAGTAGTATGGCCAGGAGCCCCTAGTAGCGTCCTTGCTCCTAGTAAGGCCAGGAGCCCCTAGTAGCGTCCTCGCTTCTGGTAGTGAGGCCAGGAGCCCCTAGCAGCGTCCTTGCTCCTAGTAGCAAGGCCAGGAGCCCCTAGTAGTGTCCTTGCTCCTAGTAGTAAGGCCAGGAGCCCCTAGTAGCGTCCTTGCTCCTAGTAGGAAGGCCAGAAGCCCCTAGTAGCGTCCTTGCTCCTAGTAAGTAGAAAGGCCAGGAGCCCCTAGTTGCGTCGTTGCTCGTAGTAGTAAGGCCAGGAGCCCCTAGTAGCGTCCTTGCTCCTAGTAGT